AATTTGGACATTTTCACTTTGGGGTGTACTCACTTTTGTGGCCAGTGGTTTAGACATTAATGGCTGTGTGTTGAGTTATTTTGAGGGGACAGCAAATTTTGTCTGTTATACAAGCTGTACACTCACTACTTTACATTGTAGCAAAGTGTCATTTCTTCAGTGTTGTCACATGAAAAGATATAATAAAATATTTACAAAAATGTGAGGGGTGTACTCACTTCTGTGAGATACTGTATATATAATTTATTTATTTTTTTTAAATAAAAGAGTGCTTTTAGGAATGCATTATTTATGTATTAGATATTTAGTTGTGCATGATCATTTACCCTATTTATACAGTGAGATTATCTTTGCTGTCATCTAACATTTCTTGAAAGTTAATCTTTAAAAATAACAATAGTAACTATGTTAAATGTAAATATGAGCAAATAAAATATTAGCAAATATCAAAATGAATATCTTTTTAATACTGCACGTTTTAATGTTGTGATTCTTGTTAATTTTTTAAATGATTAAATTAAATTTATACGGTTTATTTTTAATTTATTTAGAGAAAATAATACAGTATTTTAATATCTGCCATTTGTCAGTTTTTATCAAATCATATAAATGTAAAATAGTTATGGGATTATCAGTATCAGTCTGACTTTTAATATCTGTTCATCCCTAAATATGTTTATTAGCATATTTATAGATATGTATTAATGTTGGTGTTTTTTCATACTGTACTTTTTAATATTGTGGCGCTTATTCCTTATTTTATGTGAATTAATTTAATTTATGCTGGTTTTATTTTTTATTTATTTAGACAAAATAATACAGTATTTCAATATCAGTAATATCAGGTTTTTATAAAATAATCTAAATATAAAATAATTAATATCGGATAGACTTGATATCTCTTCATCCCTAATGCCGAGTTCACACTGCACGATTTTAGCCTGATTTTTCACTCGCCGACAGGTTTTGCGAAATCGCAGACAAATGCCCGAAATCGGAGGCAAATCGATGCTCGTTCACGCGAGTGACAATCACGCAGTGTGAATTACCACAGACGCGATCTGAGGGAATCGCCGACGCCCGCAAAATATTTGGCATGTCGCCGATCCATCGTGCAATGTGAACACAGCAGCAACTTAATGCTACCCCAGATAGTCACGCCGTGTGAAAACAACGGCGATCCGATGAGTTTGAAAATCGTGCAGTGTGAACTCGGCATTAGATTGTTCAAAGGCATATTTATAGATTTTTAATCATTATATGTTGGTGTTGTACCAAATTTTACAAAATGCTAATAAATGATTACCATTTACCATGATATTTGTATTGTACTCCAAGTGAATGCTTTCTCTTCTCACAAGTTGTCTTCAGGATTGTATGTTCGTCTTTGGATTGTTTAGTGTGGATTGTTAATCTTTGTACTTGAAAGACACTTCTATTTGCCAAGGCCCTTTAAAGGAACACTCCACTATTTTTAAAAATAGGCTCATTTTCCAACTCCCCTAGAGTTAAACAGTTGAGTTTTACCGTTTTCGAATCCATGCAGCCAATCTCCGGGTCTGGCGGTAGCACTTTTAGCTGCAGCTTAGCATAGATCATTGAATCTGATTAGACCGTTAGCATCTCGCTCAAAAAAGACCAAAGAGTTTCTATATTTTTCCTATTTAAAACTGGACTCTTCTGTAGTTACATCGTGTACTAAGACCAACGGAAAATGAAAAGTTGCGATTTTCTAGGCCGATATGGGCTGCACCCATGGTACGGCAGCAAAGTTCCTTGATTATTATTACGTCAGAATGAGAGTATAGTTTCTAGCCATATCGGCTACCGCCAGACCCGGGGATCGGCTGAATGGATTCGAAAACGGTAAAACTCAACTGTTTAACTCTAGGGGAGTTGGGAAATGAGCCTATTTTCAAAAATAGTGGAGTGTTCCTTTAAAAGCTGCAAACCTTGATGTTTCACACCGTTTCTTCCAAAATTGGTGAGCATCAGTTAAAATAGGATAAAATATAATTAATGTGTTATTCACACTAAATTTCTAGCTAATGCATATTACAAAAAAAAAAAAGCATTTAAAGCCTATATGTATAAAGCATTACAAAGATATTCATAATGTGCGTTGTAATGCATTCATATCTTTTAATAAATAGACGTAATCAAACTGAAAATGCATTATAATATTTGAAAGTTTGTCAAGTGTTTTAATGCATTACACTTTCTAAAAGTGTGACAATGACTAGATAAGTTTTATAATTTATTATAACTATGGCTACAATTATTCATGAGGGCACACAATGCATAAGGTGCATTACAAGGCATAATTAATGCATTTTAAGTTTTATAATGCATTATATAAGCTTTTTAATATAAAACATACAAATGTTTAATGAAAAAAAAAAAAAAATTTCTGACACTTAAAATCTATGAAAATGTTGCTATATATAAAAAAAGATATTTAATTTTAATTTCAGATTTTTGCAAGTGCAGCCAGTGAAAATCTGAACAAAAGCAAAAATTTGAACAAAATCATTATTATTGAGCCCTGAAGAGAGGTACGGCAGCAAAGTTCCTTGATTATTATTACGTCAGAATGAGAGTATAGTTTCTAGCCATATCGGCTACCGCCAGACCCGGGGATCGGCTGAATGGATTCGAAAACGGTAAAACTCAACTGTTTAACTCTAGGGGAGTTGGGAAATGAGCCTATTTTCAAAAATAGTGGAGTGTTCCTTTAAAAGCACATTTTTCCCTCTTAAAATCCCATTGACTCTGTTAAATAATGTTTAGTATAAAAGCAATTTACAATTATTGGTTTTCATCAGAAGGTTCCAAAGAACAGCAAAATATGAAAAAGATTTATAAAATAAAATAAACAATAGAGAACTATTATGAGCTGATTTGCTTTCTTGAATTTGTGGTGGTGGTGTTTTTTTTTTTTTAGCCTTATTTGAATATACACTGCTGAGCATTTGGCTTGTATATGAGTTTTTCCCGCGTGTTTGAGTAAATGCAAATACTGACGTTTGTCTGCATCTCTTCCCCCGCAGAGACGTGGAGCAATCTCCTATGACAGCTCTGATCAAACCGCTCTGTATATTCGCATGCTAGGTAAGCATCATCTTCCCTGCCTAATGCATGCACTCACACGCACACACACACAAACACACTCAACCTGTAAATAAATTCAGACACAGGGTAGATGCACCGCTCTGCACTGGAAGTTACCAAGCGCAGCATATTATACAACAGATTGTGTAACGGAGAGGATGGAGAGCCTCAACCATCAGTCAAAAAGCCTCTGATAATCTCTTCATTACATCCACAGCTTAAGTCATTCCTCAACTAGGAATTGCTTAGCGTTTCTGTGAATTTTCCTTTGATTTAATACTTATCAAGCCTCGACTCGGCCTGATTGCTGACCCCAGGGACCTCCAAGAGTTTTATCTGTGCCCCTTTTGACTTCATAGGACAGCGCTGAAAGATCTGACAGGACCTGATGTTTAAACGTTGCGTACGAACAAAATGCACATTGAAAAAGCGCTTATTCAATCTCATGTTGGATTAACCTAGTAATCAGTTTAGGTTTATGCTTAGTCATTGTTTTGTGTTAGGAAATTTTGATTTCAGGTGAAGTATATTTAGACATTTTACGGGAAAACTAGAGCGAGTGATTAAGAGTAGTTTTATTGCAGTTTATCATCTCTCTTATCAGCACAGGTACAATTTACAACCTGTATAATTTTTTTTTCTAGTAATTGTGAAACGCAATAGTGTCACATGTATAGATGGCAAAATGCAATAAAACCAGTGTTTTATTACTATTTTATGTTATTTTTGTCATTTTGATTTATAGATATTGGTCATTATTGGATATTTATCACCTGCTGTTGGATATTTTTTTATTTTTATAATTTAAAGAGATAGTAATAGAGTGCAGAAGTTGGGTTCCGGAAGTAAAACGTCATTCATTTTTTTTCCATAGGGACATACATTTTTTTTAACGATAACTTACAAACCTTCAAAGACATTTGTGTCTGACATTGTACCAATTGAAATATATAGTGAAAACCTCATTACCCATGATGCTGTGCAGGAAAATTGCACCAATCACAGACCAGCAAAAAATGCCAGAAGGGAATCTTAAATATTTGTGTATAAATGCATGTTTTCTTAAAAAATTATATTGTTTCTATAGATGTAATTAAAAACTTAAAATAAGTAGTTTTATATTTCACCATAATTTTTGTCATCCGCAGTGCTTCATGGGATTGTAGCTGTTCCCCTCACTTAAACCATTAAGTACAAGCCATTAATCCTGTATCTTTGTCTTTTTGTCTGATTTTCAAATACTTTTTAATTTTTTTGCTACAAATAAAAGTTTTTAATGTTTCAGCTGGTTGGCTTGGTTCATGGCTTATGAGGCTTTAACAAAGACTTTTAAATAAATCCTTATTGGGAAAATGAATGGGAAAAATACTTTCAGAACCAGTGCTGCTAAAAAGGTTGGCGGGCACTATTGCACTACAGTTTACAGTTTATATAGTTTATGGCAAAAATGTAACCCTTTGAGAGCACTTTGTCTTTAAGAGCGCATGTCAAAGAGATGCCATGTTCAAGCAATGTGCATTTTTTCTTGTTTTTAACAATGTTGTATAGATTTATGATATCAGCCGTGCTTCAGCCATAATGTGAAAATAGTTATCAGTATATCATATTGTGCAGAATTTCAGTATCTGCATGAAACCTATGTAAATTTTTATACATGAGGCCCGTGATCTGTGCTGTCAGAGATTTTACACAACAGTGTACTAAGAACGTGGTGGTTCCACATTAAATCCGTTTGACTGACATTTACACCAATTCATCACTTTCGAATCACACTGACTGCTTTGCTTTCTGTCACTGTACCATGAATTAGCAAAACGCTAGAACATCATAACAACCTGGAGTCTCTACATGTTCAGTAACATCACCTCCTCAAGCATGTAGACAAAAACCTAGTAAAGCTAAGCCTGACCTAATATTTGATCGTAATTTCTTTTTTTGTTTTGTTTTTAAGCTGTGACAAACAAAACAATCAAACCCTCATTCGTGTTTACACCAGGTATGAACCAACACATCTCACCAGGAGAGACAAACCCGCTCACTCGCTTTCATGGCCTTTCCCTTTAATAACTTTTCCACACCATTCCTCCCTAAAGACCTGCGTCAGGGGACACGGTCTAATCAGTGGCATTTCTCACGTTAAAATGTCTTCTAATACTATTTGTGGGTCAGGAGATGCGTACGAGAGGTTTGGCGCAAAAACAGAAGACGAGAGCGCACTTTTGGTTTCCATAATGTGGTCTTGCTTCTTCGACCTCCGCGGCTTTTCTTCTGCATGTCCGAATAGCTTCCGTCTGTTTTTAGTTATTTATTTTTTTGTCTGATTCGCTTGTTGCATGTGTGACTTTGTGCTACACTCTTGTACGGTTGTTCCGACTCTATGATTTTGTTGTTGTTGTTGTTTCGTTTGAAACTCATGTCTGTCTTTTTCATTTGAATCGTGTTTTTTATGTAATTGTAATTCACAGTTTTGGTATTTTGATAGGAGCTTGTGTAATATTCAAACAGCTGTTTTCAAGTAAGTAAACATACTGGTGGGAGGCTGTTTTATTATTTGTTTATTGACTTATTTACTCGTTGACTACTTTTTTTACTGCACATGAACTCCAATCAGTAGTGACTGACATGCTGGAGGCTGCCATTACTCAGTAAAAGTTTCTGCGTCCCCCTCCTTCTCCCTATCCATGCAAATACACGCGCACACACAGCCAGAGTTTGATGAAAAGGCCTATTGAATGACTTTTTAACAGATGTGACTTTAGAGCTTTGGCCAGCCTCGTTGAAGTCCCTCTGATTTCCTCTCCATTCTGTCCTGGGCTGAAGCACATGCTTGTCTTTCTTCCATGCGTCCTCCTTTGCTCCTAGCCGTCTGAATACTAATGCATAAGACCCTCTGGCATGGCGATGCATGGTCTGTTCCCTGTCCTCCCCTTTCCCCCCACCCATCGGCAGTGTGTGTATGTCTGTCTCTGTCCCCCTGTATCCAGGCCTGTAACCTGCTGTATGTTGTGTTTGCTAACAAATCTCTTGAGGACTTGTGTGTTGATGCCTTCTAGGAGATGTGAGAGTGAGAAGTCAGGTAGGCTTTGAACCTGAACGAAGAGGCTCGCACCCGTACCTGGGCATCGATTTTCGCACTTTGCACTGTAAGTACCCAAATTAGCACTCGCACACATTCCTAGCTCTGTGCAACAGGGAAGCTTTGTTCCGGAGGTATTTTATCATGGGTATTGAATATGTTTAAAGCTTTGAACCAAATCAACCAACTCTGATATGAATTCTTAGAGTATTTGATTCAACTTTTGAAAATCAAAAATGAGACAATTTCGGGATGAGCTACTAAACTCTGAGGGAAGCGAATCAGTTTGGCTCATTTTAATGTATTTTCTTTTTTGAAAACATCACTACTGTCTTTTATGCTGTAAATGTGCGGTCACAGTAGCGAAATTTCGACAAAAGTCACTTTCAAACCTGTCAAAGTGGCAAATTCACTTAAACACGAGTGAAATCTGCACAAGGAAATTTTCTGCAGTTACTCAAAACTCCCAATCCTGCTGATTCCTATTGAAATTAAATGGATTTTACCCGCAAAATTTAAAGGGGTTAATGATCCAAAAATTACAATTGTCATAATTTACTCAGTACCACAAAAATACCACCAACCAAGTTGTTTCAAACCTGTATAAGTTTCTTTCTTCTCTTGAACACAGTATAAGATATTTTGAAGAATGTTGGTAGCCAAACATTTGACGGTAGCCATTGACTTCCATAGTAGTAGTATTTTTTTCAATACAGTGGCTACCGTCAACTAAACTAGTTTGCGAGAACTTTAAGATGAATAAAAACATTGTAGGTAGTTATGTTTTAAAAGCTTTTTTTTTTATTATTTTTTTTTTTATACATATACATAAAATTAATTTAGTCCGAGAATTTAAATGGGATTTTTGCTTCTGGAGGACTGGGAATGTCACTTAAATAAGTAATAAGAATTCAATTATAAATGTAGTAATTTAGAAATAAATATGAAATTCTTTAATTCATGTTTAATTTATTTAACTACACATTAAACATGAATTAAACGTTTTTGTTTATTTGTCAGTTTGAATGTAATGTCTATTTAAATTTTTATTATTTAAAAAAAAAAATCATTATAAAGTTGTTGTTTTTTTAAGTGCCGCTTCTCATTCACCCTTATGTTTGTTATCCCGTTAATATATTCTAATCTAATTATATTAAAGACGTTTTCCCCAATTTTCATAGTCTCTCTGTTGATCTACCAATGTGGGCGAGCTGAATTCAGGAGAACGTACATTTAGCACATGAAAAGATTTATTGCTCTTTTGTTGTGGTGAAATGAAACTCTGTTTTAAAGACTCTCTCCTGACTGGTTTTGTCTTTTGTGCTTCAGTCAGGCATGACCTCTCGTAGGCTGCCTGAGCACCACAATCGCAACGATAGCAACCAAAGTTTTAAACAGCAGTGGCTCCAGTCAGTGGGGCTGGGGGTGGATTTGGACGAGAACGAAAGCCAAAGACACGAAAAGCTTCAAATTTGAAAGCAATTTCAGCTTAATTGTTGAGGATGCTAATTTTAAATGGCATTTTGCATCATGGAATTTCCATGTCCTCTTTCTCATGTGTGTGTTTGTGCTCAGCCCGTGCTGAGTCAGCAGGGTCGATTCCAGCTCGGAGGATCCGGAGGCTCTTTAGTTTCCAGCGACACCTGCTTTCGTCCCGTCTGCTGCGAGGAGCACCACACCTCAACCCCCTCCACATCCTGGACGAGGACTACTGCGGTCAGGCCAAGGTATGGCACCACAAACACACATTGTGGTAAAACCTTGGTGACTTTAGTTTGTATTGAATATTCAACATTTGCGGTATGAATACATACATAACATATGCAGTTATTGATTTTTCATCTGTTCTCACTGTCATTTTCTCACAGTGTATGCTTGAAAAGGTTGGAAGCTGGAATTTTGAGATATTCCTCTTTGACAGACTTACAAATGGTAAATATTTTAATTCTGACGAACCTTCTTATTTCTGTGTGTGAATGTGTGAGATTTGTTGTACTTTACCTTCGCTATATTAAGCCACATGTACACTTCTCATTCAGTTGTGGTCAACTCTGCCACCTGCTGGTTGCATCATGGCTGTGCAAAATTGAGGATGAAGCTTTGCCTAGCCAAATTCATCCTTCCTCTTATATTCTTTGTTGTTTTGAAGGAAACAGTCTTGTCTTCTTGACATTTCATTTGCTGAACCAGTATGGCCTCATCGAGCTCTTCCAGTTAGACATGGTTAAACTGCGTCGATTTCTAGGTAAGTGTTTTTCATGTTTATGGCTGAAACTAACAATGAATGTTTCTTTTATTAATAGTATTTTAAAAGCATAGTTTTATTTTATTAAATACATTTGATTAAAACAATGCAAAATGTATGAAATATAAATGTATGAATGTATATGAACTTAATTTGAACATTAGTTCACATTCACACTATGGTAATTAATTTATAGTTACTGTTTTATAAAAAAAATGTCATGTAACATTTCAGTGAAATTTAATTCATTTCAAACCTCAAATATTTAACAACAAAAGAAAATATTCAAAATATATTAGTATTTTTTTATTTATTAGTCCAGATTTACTAACATTATCATAATATTTAATAATAATTATTAATAGTAGTAGTATTTGTATTATAATATACTAAATATTATTATTATTATTATTATTTATTGGCTTGCTTTTAGGATGTATTTAGCTTTTTTGCAAAAATTGAACATTCTTATTTACAAGAATTTGTAACATTTACAAGTATAAATTTCACATAAATTTTCAAATTGTAAAAGTTGCTTGGAAAGCCATCTGAACTGCATTAAAATGACTCAATGCCCTCCTGAAACTATTAACTATGAGTTGAAACATCTGATCAACTCATCTGATTTATTTTAATTATTATTCAAATATATTTATTGTAATTCTAAAGTGTATTTTTCAATTCTGTAAACATGACAGATGGGGGTTCTGCATGCCACAGTGCACTGATCCAACTAACTGAGAATGAAATTAGGTGTTGATTGTCATCATATATTTGAATGATTATCTGCAGCCCTAATATACTGACTGTACTAATCTTGCTGAATTACTTTAAATGTTGTACACTTGGTTTCAGTTCTGGTTCAAGAAGACTACCACAATCAGAACCCTTACCATAATGCAGTCCATGCTGCTGATGTCACCCAGGCCATGCACTGTTACCTGAGAGAACCCAAGGTGATTGTCCCTTTATTAAATGTACCGTAATTGACTTTTAATGGTTACGTGTAGACTTACAGTCATCTCTTTGTGTGTGTGTGTGTGTGTGTGTGTGTGTGTTTATCCACAGCTCGCCCAGTCCCTCACATCATTCGACATCCTCTTAGGGTTGCTGGCTGCGGCCACACACGATCTGGACCACCCTGGAGTCAACCAGCCTTTCCTCATCAAAACCAACCATTACCTTGCAGCTTTGTACCGGGTTAGAGCGCCATCCAATGGGATTTAAGCACATAATTAGCTCCACAATCCTCTTTATGTTCTGAGTAAGTTACTGTATTTGTAAACACGTCAAAGTCAATCGGCACTGGTGTGTGTGTGTGTGTGTCGCTCTGTAGAATACCTCAGTTCTGGAGAACCATCACTGGAGGTCTGCAGTGGGACTGCTCAGAGAGACCGAACTCTTTTCCCATCTTCCTGTGGAAGACAGGTCAGTCTCTTCACTTCTTTTTAGCCTAAAGTTCTTTGTTAATAAGTTACGGCTTATTATTCTACAAGCAAGTAATTTTTTAAAATTATTATTTGTTTATTTTAATTTCTTATTTAAATTTTTTTTTTTTTAATGATAATTTTTTTACTTTATTATTGTTATTATTATATTCTTTATTGACTCACTTTTAGGATGGACTTTTTTGCCAAATGTAAATACTTATTTATACATTTATTTATAAGAATTATACATTTTATAATCATTTTATTACAATTATTAATTATAATCTATAACAATTATTGTTTTTCGACTCCATTTTGCAAAATGGAAATACTTATTTGCATGAATTTATTACACTTACAAGAATGATAAATGTTCTAATCAATTTATAAAAAGTAAAATAAAGGTACTTTTTTTCCTACTGTCTCTTTAAGACTTCTCTATGTAAATGGCCTCTGTTATGATAGACTGACTTTAATTGGTGTCTCTAACAGTCTGAGTATAGAGAGGCAGCTGGGGTCGCTCATTCTGGCCACAGATATCAGCCGACAGAATGAGTACCTGTCCCGGTTCAGGACACATCTGGATGAGAACGACTTGTGTTTAGGACACGCTTCTCATCGACATTTCGTTCTGCAGGTGGGAATGTGCAATTCAGTATTAATTTCACTAAAAACAAACATTGTGCAGTTTATATATAGTTTTATATACAGATTATATGCCAGCTTTGACTTAAAATAAAATAATACATTTGATGTTTGCTTTAAAAAAAAAAGAGGGAAAATAATTAAAAAATTATAGATAACAAATTAGTTAAATTTATTAAAATATATAATTTTATTTTGTTTTGGTCACTATAATGCTGACTTTAATGTACTTGAAGTTTGCGATGTCCCGTTTTTAAGTGGAAGGGCTGCATACCATATTTTTGAATAAAGACAGACACTTTTGGGCTCTTAAAACCAAATGGACGTGTGTTCCAGATGGCTCTGAAGTGTGCAGATATCTGTAACCCGTGTAGACCGTGGGAACTCAGCAAACAGTGGAGTGAGAAGGTCACAGAGGAGTTCTTCCACCAAGGTAGCCAGTTCTCATGATGACCATGCTCTCTCCATGTGCTCTTAGTTCACTCTGTTCAGAAGCTAATCTTTGTGCTCTGTTGTCGTCTTTTTCAGGTGACATTGAAAAGAAGCATAAACTTGAAATCAGTCCACTGTGTGATAGTGAAGCCAACACCATAGCCAGTGTTCAAATCGGTAAGAACCAGAACATTCTCATTTATGAGCTCACCCTGAATATGGGAGGAAAAGAATAATAGTAAAAAATAATATTACGTATTGTATGTATATTGATTTAAGGCAAGACACTACAGTTTTTTTCAGACACTGGTAAGTTTTCAGATTTTGAGGTATTTTGGTTCAATAATCTTATCTTCTTTCAGACTAGCAGAAAGAAAATATCCAAAATACAGATTTAAGTGTTTGATATATTTCCCAGTTTTATTCTTATTTATATTCTGAAGGTTTTTACAGAAGGGTTTGTTCATATATCGATTGATTGATTTATTTCATTCCTAAAAACATGGTGAATTTTCTGGCTGTTGACACTATTTTCTAATTTATAGAGGAAAAAAAAGAGGCCCAAAATTTGGAATTCAATATAAAATTCAGTAAATAAATTAAATTCCCTTCCGTAAAAATCTTCAACTTTAATGTGTCAACAAAAGGTATTCAAATGAGTGCATATTTTATTATATAATAAAACATAATTGCACATTTCAGAAAACTTATAATACAAAACAGTCCACTATATGTGTATATATATATATATATATATATATATATATATATACATACATACACACATACATACATATACAGTGTTTGTCTTTTTTGTTGTTGTTTTTATTGTTGTTTATATGTGCGTGTATAAAATATAATAATGTAATAATTATAATTAAAGTACAATTATCTTAAATTCAATAAAATCCCTTCTGTAAAACATTTAACTCTAATATGTCAACAAAATTAACTTTGAACCTGTCTTTATCCAGTGTTCAGATTTCTGTTCTGGAAATGCATGCAAATGAGTGCATATTTAATTAGATAAAACAATTAAACAAAATTTCAGTCACTTGTAATACTGGACTGTAATTGTACTGTGATTAATAACTGTCATTAAATGTAATGTCTTGCCTTTTTTTATTCAATTTTAATAAAAATATATAATGTATAATATCAAATATATATAAATAGTGTATATAATACAGTAATATAATATTACTACAACATAAATATCATATTTAAATAGTGTATTTTTATATCTATACTTTTTGTATTTATTTATTTTTTTGGTTATATATGTGTATATATAATAATGTAATATGTAATAATGATATTATAATTATCATTCAAATGAATTATTTTTAGAAGGTCTGGCTGATGTAGTGATCTCTGCCTCTGATTCTCTTTCTCTGCCACCAGGTTTCATGACTTACGTGGTGGAGCCTCTGTTTGCCGAGTGGGCGCGCTTTTCAGACACGCGGCTCTCTCAGACCATGCTCGGCCATTTGGGCCTGAACAAGGCCAGCTGGAGTGCCCTGGAGCCCGAGGCATCGGGGAGCTCCGAGGAGGGGGAATCCGAACCGGGCCGAGCCACAGAAGAACCCAGTTCCAGAGCCTTATCTCAGGGAAGCCAAGAGTCATGACACCCCAGCGCTCGCAGAACACCTCTATTCCCCTCAGCCAAACATCTTGCGTCACGCCACCCATCTCCAACCAACCACTGATGATTTGTTTTCTTCTTTTTCGTTCGTCTATTTAATTTATTCAGTTTTAAGCGCTCATTTACCCTTCAACATAGAGCAATACATAGATACCTCATTTGGCTACTGCTGCAATTTTGGTTTCTTTTAATTATTGTGATATATTTATTGAACCTTATTTGTTTTTTTTTCTATTGGGCGTTACTAATTCAACTCCGATGCTTTGATTAAAGACTGTAAGGGAATGTGGGGTAGGAAGGAACCCCCTCCTATGGCTTTAAAGTGCCATTTTGAAACATTGAATTGCTCTGAAAGTCATTCGAAACACCTTGAGTATTTAAAGGAGAGGTTTTTACAACCACACCAAGAGACAATGTGTGTGAAACCGAATGAGTGCGAGCGTGTGTGTGCCAGTGCTTCTGCAAAACAATCTTCCTCCTTGTGTACAAAAATACAAATGTGAAGAGCCCAGTCCTTTTGCTGCCTCTGAAGACTGTTTACACGTTTCTAACTGAATCATGTTAGTTCTGTGATTATTGCCTTTTAAGCACAGATGTGAAGAACCACTTGTAAATTTTTTTTTTTTTCGAAACCTACTGCTGATGATCAACAAAATCTGTTGGACTGCAACCCCGTCGGCGAGACGCATCAGATGCCATTTGTGCTCCATTGCATCTTTCTCTCCCCTGTATTTCAGACAATGTGTTGAAGGAACGTCGCTTCGTGAAAGGTGGCAGAGATGAACCCTTTTGACCATGGAAGGAGGATTAATGTCACGGGACATGTAGCTGAACGGACTCTCCATGGATTTTGCTCAGGGTCTCAACCGACCTGCTTATTTAGGAGAAACAAGGAAGTAAAGGTGCCTTTTGTAGGTAGCCACCACACCTCTCTTTCTCTCTCTCCTCTGTATTTTGTAAAGAAAGACAAGTCCTTCTCAGAATGTCTCGAAGCCACTCTCGTCTCTTCGGAAGACTGCTACACAATGCCTTAAAACTATGCACAAAGCTAAGTGACCAAATCAGCTTTCGTTTTCATTTTAAACTCATCACATTGTCTATTTAGTGCACTGTCTGACCCTTTGCCTTTTTGTCGTGGAGAAACCTTTTTTTTAATATATGGAGGAGAATTGGTTTAATGATTTGATTTTTAACATTGAACATTCCATTATTGTGTATGGTTTTGGATTCTGTACAGAACGGACAGTTGTTTTTGTTTTTTTGTGCTTCTCTTGATATTTGGAAAGAGAAGAGGTGCTTTATTTTAGGTGATTTGTATTTTTGTTGTAAGTGCTGTAAGACTGTTGATTTAAGAAAAAAAAACTGTTTACAGTTTGTTGTAACAGCCATTTTGGGGAGACGACCTATGTGTCAAGCCATTTTGTAAAGGCTTTGCCGTATAACCTTTTGATACATACTTGTTGCAGTTGCATTTTTGATGAATAAAACTTCACAAAATGTTTCTACCGGATGGCATGAGCTCATGCTGTTCTATTTGTCCAAATGTAACCATAGTAGAAACCTCATTACAGAAATGAAAAGACACAGATTGACAGTTTCAGGTTTATTCAAGAAATGAAAGTCCATTCAAAACAGTTCTGTAGTGTGAAATTAAATCAACCTATTTAGATAAATTACCAGAAATATATCTCCGCCAGGAGATTCCCTTCAATTCTGAGGTACACCTCCTATGTGCTGGCCTTTAAATCCAGTTAGAAATCTTTGAAATGAGAAATCCTGTACTGTAATATAATGCAAATGCACTGACTATTGGTGCACAGCAGACATTTTAGGTATAAGTGCAAAAATGCAAACCTTTTAAGGTACAAACACTGTCAAAAATTCTGCTAATAGACTGAAGTTGGCACTGGACTAGAGATAACAAGCTTGACGTCATAGACAAACAAAACTACATTATTCAAGTGATTTATTAAACTGGTTAAATAACTAAATGACTTCCAGAACAATATCATGGAAATGTTCCAAAATAATAAATTAGAACCTAAAAAGGATTTTAAATGAGCTCTCATTAAATTAGTGAGCAAATACTACTGACAGCACCATCTAAGCCCTATTTATGATGATCACAAAAGTGTGGTTCATAATTGCTAGTGGTCACATGACAGAAAAACCTGAAGTTACTAAAGTTACTAGCAACTATTAATTGTACTTTTGAAGCAGACACAACTTCTGTGCAAACAGGTGTTAAAAATACACATAAAACTACTGATAAAGAACAATCCATACACTTTGGTGTTTTTGTTTAACGTTATCCCTTCAAATGAGAGGAATCTAACAAGGTCGAATACTTGCACTGTTGACATTCAACAGATCCAAATAAATCCACTTATAAAATCATACATAAAACCAAACAAAAAGAACAAATTTCTCGGGTAACTGGCATTAATGATGGAACTGGCTGTGGTATGTGATGTACTGATGGAGATGAACTTTTCAAAGTGCAAATTACATAGATATTCAATAGGGAAACCAGACTGACTGCATAGTGTTTGGCATTTGCATGCTCACCTAAAAGAACACTAACAACATTTTGATGGCTAACAAGAAAAGTTATCCGGTTATTGAAAATGAAAAGTCATCAGGTTAACTACATTAACCTGCTCAGATGAGTAGCTCCATCCTAGCACAGTTTCCTCCTTCCAGTTGACTTTAACATATGTTGGCCAAACTGCAAAAGAAATGGCACAAAATGACTATGGCACTAAAACAAAATACGCGAGATCAGTTTTTCAAGAAATAGAATTTCTCTTACCAGTGGTGTTTCTACGTGGGTCTTATTCTCAGGGGCTGGCAAGTTAAAATTGCTATCACATTCACTGTCGCTCCGGTAGCGGTGAGCGAACTTGCGTTTCAGGGCCTCTGCGATTAATGCTGCAGCATCTGTGGGCTCAACAGGTTTTGGTTTCGTGTCCTCTTGATGACTGGGAACGAAAGGATAATTGAACCTTACTGGTAAGTGTTTAGGATGAGGTTTGAATGTCATCACTGTCCAGATTAAGCACTATAACATTTACCTCTTAACTGAGCGCAGCTTCACTTTCCCCATGTCTTTCAGTACGTCTAGCATGTTGGGAAGCTCTGGCTTTTTAGGTGCCGAGTCCAGTACTGTCTTCTGCTCTGCCTTTTTCCCACGCCGCTCTCGGATGAGGTCAATGGCAGAATAGCTTCTCTGCATGCCAGGGGCGGGACAAGGAGGAGGTGGCGGAGGTGGAACTGGAGTCATTGGTGGAGCTTGGGGTACGGGGGGACCACCTGGCGCTGGAGCTGAAACAAAAATTGCAACTTTAAATAGGTAAAAACGACCAATACCAAAGTATTTACAAGCAGAGTGCTATTTTATGTCTTTTGCAAGAACGCCAACACTTTGCAAGCAAACGTGTTGCACATGCCTAACGTTAACATCACTGGCATATATTTGGGGCATAAAGAACAACTAACCAGTGTTGTTTAATAAAACTAATCAATCAACAATTAATCAATCAACATTGTAAATAAATATATATTTTTATATGTTTCCATGTACCAAAGTGTGTGGGATATATTCATTTTTGCTGTTAAATATAAATAAAAATATTACAACTTTTTCAATTTATTAAAATAAAGCTGAGAAAATCTAAAAATATGAAAATCATCTAACAGCGTTTCTGCAGGTTTTGTGAAGGTAAATTTAAGACCTTTTTAAAACCAACTAAAGACAAAATTATGGAATAAATTGAAGAGGGCACAAAGACATTCATCACAGTTTATGATTAAAACAAGAACAAATATCTGCCTATTGGGTCAGAAAAAGTAATTTTTCAAAGAGAAAATGTATTAAGGGAAAATAATTTTTACAATTTTTCTTACCCATTGATAGACACTTGTTCTTGTTTTGAGCATAAACCCACTTAATTGTGTTACATTTCTCAGAAAACAAGACTTTATATCTTCATTTTGCATCTCACGTAAATGTATCTTGATTCAAGGAAGTTGAGATTTTCATATTGGAAAACAAAACAAAAACACTGAGTAAGAATAATTTTTTTTTTTGCAATGCATGCAACATTTAATATCATGAATTTAAGACTTTCTGCCTTGATTTTTTGAGAACTTTTAAAACTAGAAAATAAAATGTAAACTACAAATATCAAAACAAAAGCTACTTCAAAATACTAAAATGGTATATACACATAATACTAAAGTAGCACTCCAACTAACCTGTGGACTGAGCACTTTGCTCCTGTGCCTGAACGATCTGTGCAATTTGAGCTCTAAGTTTGGCCAGCTCAGTTTCCAGAGCACTGATCTTCTGAATGGCTTCATCGTTGATGATCGTCTGACTCTGTGGCGCAGGTTCAGCCTGGTGCAAGCTGGGTAACGACCGCCGACGTCTCAGGGGTCTGCACTGCTGGGTGCGAAAAAACAACCCCGAATCCGCCTCAAACCTGCAGAACACACATATGATAATTACAATATTCAAATCTCTGTTTTCTAAATCAATTTAGAAATATTTTTACCAATTCCTGCCAGCACCATCGCTCTCTTCTCTGTCCATCCAGCCCACATCAGCGAGTGTGGCCACAAGTCCATTTGGCCCATTTGAATTGTTGAGGAAACTCGCTCCTGCAGCGAATGGATGAAGCTACACAACCCAAAGACAGTTTAAAGGACGGTTAATAATTATAATAATCACAGCCACGGCAAAGAAAACAGCACCAGGGAAACCGGTTTAAACATTGCCTAGCAAATAATGAAGCAATTAGAACATTGCAACAGCAGCTTTTTTTTTTTTAAAGAACTCTTGGCCTAGTCAAGGAAGTTGAGATTTTCATATTGGAAAACAAAACAAAAACACTGAGTAAGAATAATTTTTTTTTTTGCAATGCATGCAACATTTAATATCATGAATTTAAGACTTTCTGCCTTGATTTTTTGAGAACTTTTAAAACTAGAAAATAAAATGTAAACTACAAATATCAAAACAAAAGCTACTTCAAAATACTAAAATGGTATATACACATAATACTAAAGTAGCACTCCAACTAACCTGTGGACTGAGCACTTTGCTCCTGTGCCTGAACGATCTGTGCAATTTGAGCTCTAAGTTTGGCCAGCTCAGTTTCCAGAGCACTGATCTTCTGAATGGCTTCATCGTTGATGATCGTCTGACTCTGTGGCGCAGGTTCAGCCTGGTGCAAGCTGGGTAACGACCGCCGACGTCTCAGGGGTCTGCACTGCTGGGTGCGAAAAAACAACCCCGAATCCGCCTCAAACCTGCAGAACACACATATGATAATTACAATATTCAAATCTCTGTTTTCTAAATCAATTTAGAAATATTTTTACCAATTCCTGCCAGCACCATCGCTCTCTTCTCTGTCCATCCAGCCCACATCAGCGAGTGTGGCCACAAGTCCATTTGGCCCATTTGAATTGTTGAGGAAACTCGCTCCTGCAGCGAATGGATGAAGCTACACAACCCAAAGACAGTTTAAAGGACGGTTAATAATTATAATAATCACAGCCACGGCAAAGAAAACAGCACCAGGGAAACCGGTTTAAACATTGCCTAGCGAATAATGAAGCAATTAGAACATTGCAACAGCAGCTTTTTTTTTTTTTAAAGAACTCTTGGCCTAGAATTTTCAACAATGATCCAGAGAACTGACCTAAAGCAGACATGCTGCCTTCCTGACATACAGGACAGCTGGAAGGAAGGGCAGAGAAGAGAGAAACAGAGACAGTAATAAAAGTTTCAAGGTGAATTTAATGTCATCATACTTTTGTTTTAAAGGTTAGACGGTAGGAAAAGGCTAGATTAGATATTGTGAGCTGAAACCTGTCCTCATGATTCATGATTGTTTATTGTCAGCACACTGATGGAATCAAAACAGAACAGGACAGAAATATGATGATATGGGAGAACTGAATAATGAAAGGCCAAAGATGGAGAATGTTACAGGTTTTGAGAGGCAAAAATGCAATAAACGTGGAAAACACTCTGATAATAATGGAATGAAAATGAATGAAGACTACCTGAAAATACTAAAATAGAAAACAGAAAAAGACTGAATATTTAAAAACACAACAGGCACTCAAAATCATTTGTAAATATCCTTTGAATTGTCTGTTGAAAGAATTACAAAAAGTTGAGAGATTCTTTTATGTTTTTGACACATTTGAATGAACAAAGACTGATACTTTACCTGAAAATGGACACGAGGGCAGGGTGCTAAGGGAAGATTTGTGGCAATTCTTCTGACAATACTCCTGGATGACCCATAAGGCTTTGATGATGATCCTATAGCCTAAGAGAGATATAAATATAATCATTCTTCTAATCACAGGATGAGTGCATAGCAAGAAATGTACATATAATTCTGTGCATGAACTTACCAGGTCCATTTCTATCCGTCTATGATTTCCACTCATCTTGTTACTTCACTTACAGATCTGTCTCATCTTCAAGGATCTGTGCTAGGTCATCTTCAGATCAAAACCTAAAAAAATTTGTAAGAATCACTTTAATACACTTATATATTTTTATTTAACATGACATCTTTTAGACTAGAGTACCCTGGTTTTCCACATGAAAAACGTTATGATCCCTGTAAACTGTCAGTCATTCTCACATAGCAGAAGAGCATCTTGTACAAACGTGTCTCCTCCACTCCTGCTTTCCTAAACAGTCACTTTGTGGCAAACAGACATTGTTCAACGTGACGTTCACCTTGGCATTTACCAGAAAACACTGAGGTACTAAACATTTTGTAGTTGTTTCTTCGTAACGCACCTGAGTGTTTGTCACTAATAGATACCGCAAACAGAGGACTAGTGAACTGTCTACAAACTTTATCACAAAGGTTAAAAGGCGCTAAAACCCCAAGCGTTATTGTTTCAGTGTTGTATTAAACGCCCTGTTAGTTGTTTACAAAAGTTGTCGCGATTTCTAATACGACATTACAAGAAAATATCGACTCTTACCGTGTAAAATGCAGTGTAACAGATTTCCAGAAGGGTCATGGCTGTGCTACGCTAAAGCAATCCAGCGGTTAACGTTACCTGGTTTTTCCACAGTGCGGGAGCAGTCGTTTGGGAAGAAGGGCGGGACTTAATAATATTGGCCAATGGGGTTTGAGAATATTCAAACAATGGGTCGGTCCTATGAGTATGGAGTCAACCACTGGTTTAGAGTAGTGGATTGACAATACAACTGTCCAGTCATAAGTGAGTTATGACTCACACACACACACACACACACACGCACACACACACGAGGCATGCAGGAACCAAGCAGGAACGCATCCATGGAATGGATTTGCTGAATTTCGGAAGTGAGCGGTGTTTGGATGACTATGACCGGTTTAAAAAGAAGACAATTTTAAGTTATTAATTAAATTCTGTTTAGTTTTATATTCAGAAATAAAAATGTTCCATCTTACAATCTGTTTATCTAAGTTTTATAAAGGACAATACTGAACAATAATAACAACAACAACAAAAAAAGATCGAAAACATTGGTTGTTTGGAAATCATTTAAAATATTTACCTAAATAAAATCGTATCAAACCTGTACTTTATAGTTTATTTATTTATTTATGCTTCGCCCTTCTATTGTTTTATGTATTATACTGGCTGACGATAAAAATGCACAATAATAAATTGTTATTCACGTTTCTCCTGAACTAGACCATCTTTATCTGTTAGTCTACATTAGAGGAAATACAATTGTTTTTATGTTTCTTTTCTGCCTGTAACAATTACATTTGTTTTGTCATGTATTGTTTGTCGTGTATTGTTTTGTCATGTATTGACAATAAACGTATTGTCATGTATTTTAGTAGGGACCCAATAAATAAAATATATTAATAGTATTTTTACTTGCTTCCTTGGCTCTGAAGCTTTGTATGTATTTTCGCAATACAATAAAAAACAATAACAATAGCCAAATAAACAAATATTTTAGTAAGTTTTGGTTCAGATTTGCTTTATTCTATAATAATAATAATTCTATAATTTGCTTTAATACTCATTTATATTGTATATATCACGTTGTCTCTTAGTAAAACCCTTTCTAATTGGTCAAGAACGCATGGCGTCATAGTCCACATCCTCCAATCAGTCTGTCTAAATCCAGGAAGTGTAGTAAAGGGTGCTAAAAGCTCCGCAGATAATGGCCAAATATACCCGACCAGAACAGCTGTCATAGAGACTTTTAACCACATTCACTGTCGTCGCTATTACACGAGCTACACCCAGTTGCGTATCCATCAGCAGTTCATTTGTCGGCGGATTTGATTCTTTGACTGGACAGGATCATCGGAAGCGAGGAGTTGTCCTGGGCGTGTTTGCTGTAAGGTTATGCGTGGACAACAGTGCCACAACACACACAAGGTTAACAAGATAGATACCACGCACACAAGAATCAAATACTCTGATTATACATTTATTACTATTATTTGGCTTCATACAGGTGTATATTTCTGTGCGTCCTGATAGAAATAGACTTTGCCTTTCTCTTTTTGCGTGCTGGCATTGTTCATAGAAAGACATTCAGATCTACATGTAAGTTATTGATGTCTGTAGACTAAATATGAATGAGAAATAAGCTCCAAATGTTTGCTTTTACGTGCAGTTTTATGATTCATATGAGAATTCAGATTGTCATTGCCTTGTGATGCCGTGTTAATGCTAGCCGGTTAGCACAGGGCCCATTTAAAGGCCTCGTAATGCTATGTGAATCAGACATGACCATCATGGGTCATTCAGTTCACGATGAAAGCCAATAATAAGCCACGTGTATAGAGATCATCTGTAAATCAATGCGAAACGACGCACGCGCGACAGCAATGCCTATTGACTGAGTGACGTCAGTCAATAAACCTCAGATTCGTGTTTTTTTTTTTGGTTTAAATAATATATTTACAAAAAATGATAATGTATATTTAAAAATAAAATAAAATACAAGAGGTTGAGCAGACAACTTTTTTTTTATCAGGTTAATGTAATTAAGCTTAAACCAGCTTTTATGTTGTTTTTATGATAAACCTTAGTGTGCTTTCTGTCACTGTCAACATGTTCCGTGATATCAGAAGTAATCCAGTTCTTATTTTTATTCCCCCTCAGCTAAGATCTGTGTATTTCATGTGCATGGCCCTTGGTGTGGGAGCACCATGAGCGGGGAGCCTGATGCCTTGGCTGTGGTGAATCAGCTGAGGGACTTAGCTGCTGACCCCCTCAACAGGCGAGCTATTGTTGAAGATCAAGGCTGCTTGTCAGGCCTCATTCTCTTCTTCGACCATCCCAATCCACAAGTCGTCTACTCTGCGCTATTGGTAAGATTCTGTTTGTGAGGCATCTGCAGTCAAGACTTGTGCAGACGGGTTTTCTGTAGTGACCTGCAAGATGTTTGGTACCATGTTAGCATAGTGGTAGTTAAGGGTTCAAATTAGGAGCCTTTATGAACTCAACTATTTTGTTTGTTGATATTCTCAAACAAACAGTAATGTTTTGGTAGCTACAATTAATTTGATCATTTTTCTGGGAAAACTTATGAATTGTTTATTTATAGTTTACTGTAAGCGATTTTAGCTTTAACTTCAGTTCAGATATCCCAATATAAAGCATAATAGACAGCATTTACTATTTTAGAATTTTTCTTCTTTATTATCAAGTTAACTCGTTATACCTCCAGACATTTTTAAAATTTCCAAGTAGTTTTATATCAAAGTATTCAAGTACAAACCAACCAGATCACTCAAAGCCTACCCAGCCACTATATTTGTAATAAATATTTATTTATTTATCACTCAAATAGATTAGATTTCAATGAAAATATATTAAAATAATAAATGATAATAAGAAAATTATTATTATTAAGCTCATAGTTTGATACCAAGGCATTCATATCAAACAGTCAGATTAAGCAAAGCCCACCCAGCTGTCCATAGACATGACACATTACTGCCTCCTGCTATATTTGTATCTACAAATAGTAATTTGTAACTGATTGTTGTTATTATTATTTAATTATTGTTATTTATTAAATAGTTTGATATTGAGGCATTTGTGTCAACCAATCAGATCATTCATTGCCCACCCAGCTGTCCATAGACACATCACATGACTGCCACCTGCTGTCCAGTATTGTTACAATGCTTAGCCTAACTTCTTCAGCAATGTCCAGACCAGAAAGTGTTTCCTCTTCCTCTGTTAGATGGACAGAGACGTCTCTGTCCACGTTCCCCAGTATGATTTGAGAATGTTCCAGAGCATCTTGTTCTTCAGTGGAAGCAACAACATCTGGCATTCTGTGTAAAGGAGCTGCTATGGTCAATGTCACAAATTACCTTATTTGATTGGTGAGAAATAGTGCACAACCTATAATAATGTCAGTGTTTTTAAATCCTAAAACTCTAATCCCAGTTTAAAATTAGATTTTGAGCCCAAAATTTGAATGTGCCCTCAGAGTTTTGGACGCCTCTTTATGTTTTATCTCTTTTAGAAGGACATCACACCTGTCGAGACATTTGGACAATGTTGGAATGACACACTTTCTGTCACACACTCTGACCCAAGTAGTTCTTGGTGTTCTGTTAACGGATTTGTTATCACAGCGGTGCCTGGCGGTTTGCCTCTGTAATGGCCCTGCGTGACCCTTAATGGCTTTGTGTCCTTCCAGGCGGTGCGCTACCTGGCAGAATGCCGCTCCAACAGGGAGAAGATGACGGACGAGCTGGGAATGATGCTGAGCCTGCAGAACGTCATGCAGAAGTAAGTCGCTCCCGTCACGCTGCCACAAAACATGAAGGCAACAAGAGCTCGCTTTGCACTTCCCTGCAGAAAACCTCATCCTGCTGCCACACACACACACACACACACACACACACACACACACACAGACACAGTAACTCTGACCCAAGTAGTTCTTGGTGTTCTGTTAACGGATTTGTTATGACAGCGGTGCCTGGCGGTTTGCCTCTGTAATGGCCCTGTGTGACCCTTAATGGCTTTGTGTCCTTCCAGGCGGTGCGCTACCTGGCAGAATGCCACTCCAACAGGGAGAAGATGACGGACGAGCTGGGAATGATGCTGAGCCTGCAGAACGTCATGCAGAAGTAAGTCGCTCCCGTCACGCTGCCACAAAACATGAAGGCAACAAGAGCTCGCTTTGCACTTCCCTGCAGAAAACCTCATCCTGCTGCTTTAGTTGAAGTGAATGTGTGTGGTGGGCAGATTTTAAGCGCACGAGAAAGGTCGTCCTGTCATAAGCAGATTTGTCTGTTTTGAAGCTAAATTGGAGTGATGATGCAAGCTTGCTGTTGAAGCGTAATGTGAACTGTCAAGAAACCTGATGTAATGCATGATTGCATTTGTTTGCTCGCCATGGGTTAATGTCCAGCAGAGGTCAGTCTAAGACACCAGAGAGAATATCATACCACTACAGAACATGGAGGAGTTCATATTCAGTGCCCATATTTAGAATTCTTCAGAATGATCTTATTTCTCTTCATTTTTTTGGCAAACTAAAGTAATTTATTTTATTAATTAATTAATTGCATCTAGTGGGGAAGTTGCATGTGAAATTTTGTTGGCTGGTACAAAGAAGTTTGACTGACAATGAAGAAATTTAATTCAATATTGGTCAATCAATATGATCTTTTTTTTTTTTAAAGAAATTAACACAAAGGTCCATTTAAAATGTTTAAAAGTGACAGTAAAGACATTTATAATGTTACAAAAGATTTGTTTCAAAGAAACTTTGTTTCTTTAAACTTTCTATTCATCAAATATTCCACAAAATGATTAAGCAACAGTTTTCAACATTAATAATAATAACAATAATAATAGTTTCTTGCATACCAAATCAGCATATTAGAGTGACAATATTAAAATTCAGCTTTTCATCACAGGATTAAATAAAAAAAAAAGTAGTAATATGTAAAATAATTTAAAAAATAGTTTATTTAAATTTAATTAAAATTTTTATTTTTGTAATTTAAAACAATTAGAATATTTTTTTTTACAATATTACTGTTTTTACTGTGTTTTTGGTCAGTGCAAATGCAAACTTGGTGAGCAAAATAAACTTATTTTTAAAAAAAATTACTGACCACAAACTTTTTAATGATATTGTAAATATCACAAAACATGATGTTATTTAGCTGGCTAATGTAGATTTTGTGGAAACTTAGGATAAGCCACCATTTTCTAGCAAAATTGTTTATAAATTTATAGATGTCATATAGCTACATTTTTGCTGTTTCATTAAAAACCTGTCAAATTATTTATTAATAAATGTAATATACTATAATAATAATAATAATTTAACAACAACAGTTTGTTATATAACAATATTAATAATAAAAAGTAGTATTATTATTAGGCCTGTCGCTATAATTAAATAACCGTCTAATCGCGATTATTTGATATAACCGCGGTTGTTTCAGACAACCGCGATTATTGTGCTTTTTATACGAGACAAGGGGGAGTCATACACCAAAAGAAACAGAAGAGCACCAGTTTGCTTTTCATGCACTGTATAGCCTATACAGGGCTCCAGACTCATTCTTCCCACTGGTTGCTCTTTTGCAACTTTCTCAGTTGGTCGCACGAGCACATGATTTGGTCGCAATATTTAAAAAAAAAAAATTTTTTTGCGCTACAACATGGCATTCAATGCATGCTGATGAACTTTTATCATAGTTTATAGTTATATGGAAACGAAAGTGGTTAACATTCAACCCGTTCTTTATCATCAGTAGTATTATTTGTGATTTGAATTTTGTGAATGGGAGTTTCTCTTTTGCTGTGTT